GCACAGTCTTTATAATCCGCAATCATTTTGGCAATCAGTAACGACTTTGCTGGGCATGGTTGTGCATACCTGTAATCCCAGAATTTAAGATGTGCTCTGATCTCCCTTAAGCTGTCCTCTGACCTCTCCAGCATGCTATGGCATGTGCATGTACACACTTAAGTGGATAGATTTTTTTTTTTTTTATTTTTAAGTTCACAAAGGGTGTTGTATATTTCTGGAAGGTGATAGTTGGATCCTAAATATGGACATTAAGCAAATGGCCAAGGACGGCCGGGACTCCATTAACAGACATGGGAAGACCCGCTCTAACAGGACTTCTTGGCTTTCTATCTATTGCCCTTCTCATTGAATAATTGTGATAGCAGGAAGTGGGGCTTGGGGGCTTGTGATTATACTGTGCTCAGCAGCAGCTCTGGCCTCTGTCCACTAGATGTCAGTAGTACCCCCACTTGGGGAATCCACAAAGGGCTCTCAAGGTGTCAGGCTGAGGAAGGAAGTTTCAAAGTTGGAACAGAATAGCTCCAGGTTGCACAGTTGCCCCTGGTTGTAAAGCACCGTGGCTACAGGAGAGCAGACTTTGTCGTCAAGCACCAGTGTTAACTGTCCCACTGGAAGTGGGTCAGCAGAACAAACTGGAAAAGCTGTAAGAGCCGGCGGGAGACCCTCAGGTGTAGATGCAGGCTTTATTATATTTATTACAGTGGAAGATAATACGGACTATGAGTTTAGTCACCCATCTTTAAAAGATGTTTATGACGTGTGTCTCTGTGCACGTGAGTTCAGAGGCCAAAAGAGGGCGTCGGATTCCTGGAGCTGGAGTTACAGGCACCTGTAAACGACCAGTTGGGGTGTGGGGCACATGACTCAGGTCTTCTGTAGGAGCGGCGAGCACTCTTGACCACTGAGCCATTTTCTAGTGCCCTCACACCTTACGAGTCAGGGTCTCATGTGGTGCAGGCGTACCTCGAACCTGCTACGTGTCTTAGGATGACGTTGAGCTCTCCCATCCTCTTGCGTCTGTCTCCTCAGTGCTGGGATGACAGATGGGAGCCACCACATCTGGTTTATGTGGTGCTGGGGACGGACACCAGGGCCTCAGTGCAGGGTAGGCAGGCACTCCACCCACCGAGTCACATCCTGGGTCTGTCTTCTTCACGTGTTTTATCGCAATTTTGCAAGGTGTAGCAGATAGAGGCAGAGACAGGGACACAGAGCAAGTGCACAGGCAAGCCCAACTCTGGGGTTGGGGATCCCATCTCGGGATCCTGCCTGACTGCTGTGTGGCTTTTGGCAGTTTATTTACCCACTCTGGGCCTGGATTTCATATTTGTCAACTGAAGAACATAGTCACATGAGTCTGGGAAGGTCCCATCTGACGTTTAGACAGATCCTAGAATCTTGGAAAGACAAAACACTTGTAACAACATCTGGCACACAGCAAGTGCTGACTAATCTTTGTTTCTCTTGTTTGCTTCCTCCCCAGGTTATTTGTTCAGAGGATTTGTAACGTCCTCTTCTGTGGAGGCAGAGTTTTGTTTAGGTCTCTCAGAATAGTGGTTTTTTTTTTTTTTTTTAATTCTTTGTGCGTATTTCCATAAATGAATCATTGGGTTTTTAGTAGAGATGTTTAAATGGACTATTCTCTGCCTTCTAGTCTGTAAACGGTCTTTGCTGGCATAGAACCGTTCCTCTGTTAGGGTTGACTTTGTAGTTTAGTCTTGGTGTGCAAGTGTGTGACGTCCGTAAGTGTGGTGTATTCTTGTGTGCGTGTGGAAGAGGTACAAGTGCCCATGCTGTGTGTGGAGGCCAGAGCAGGATATCAAGTGTCTTGCTGTGTCACTCTCTACTTTATTATTACCTGTGATGGGTTCTCCCACTGAACCTGGAGTGAGGCTGTGACTGACCCTCCTGTCCTGCCCCCCCCCCCCCGCCCCTAGCTTTAGTGTCAGGGGTATGTGCGACCATGCCTGGCTTTTTCTTTGAGTCCTGGGGATCTGAATTTATGCTCTCATGCTTGTCTCCCATGCACGCTCACACACTGAGTGCTCTCAGCTCTGTCACTGGGGTTTTGAAAGAGGTGTTTAAATGGATCCCTGGTACTTTGTTTCTGCAAGGCTTAGTTCTAAGTGCTACAGCGTGAAGTGCTAAGTCCTACAAAAAGAAACAAACAAACCCCACTTTTTTGTTTGTTTGGAAACAGGATTGCACTGTGTAGCCCAGGCTGGCCTGATATTTGCTGTGTAGGCCAGGCTGGCCTGATATTTGCTGTCTAGCCCAGGCTTTAAACTTGCTGAATTCTTGCCATGGCTTTCCAAGTGCTGGACTTGCTGGGTTGACATTGCTAAGCCTGCACAAACCCCTATTCTACCAAGATAGGAATTGAACATACCGAAGAAGTATGCAAGGTCTGGATCCCCTCCTACCTTGAGTTTATTTTAACCCCTGCTGCTCTAGGCTCAGAGAGGCGGTGAATGTTACTTGGTGACTACTTTCTTTGCATCTGATTTTTTTTTAATTGATAGCTTTCTAAGAAGCCAAATATGTTTACTACTTTTGTGTACACGTCAGTCATCTTTGCCCTATCTTCCTTGATGTGATCATAACTTTCAGGAAAACTTTAAAACAGGCAATCTTCTGTGAGTCTAACTGGGATGTTCCCTTTTATTTTTTTAAACTACGTGTGTGTGTGTGTGTCTCTGTCTGTCTGTCTTTATTTTTTTAAACTACGTGTGTGTGTGTGTGTGTCTGTCTGTCTGTCTGTGCATGAGAGTGCAGGTGCCCATGGAGGCCAGAAGAAGGCATCAGATCCCCTAGCACTGGAATTCCAGGTGATGTGAGCTGTTCAACCTAGGTACTGCAGTGGAACTCAGGTCCTCTGCAAGAACAGAGTGTGCTCTTGACTCCTGCAGCATCTCTCCAGCCAAGCTCTATATGTCTTCGATTTGGTGGTGGAATCCTGATAGCTATTTAAAGGGAATTTAGAAATTTCCCGTCTTTTCTTGCCTGGTGAAATGCCTTCATAAAGAGCTATGTAGACAGGAATGAAATGCCTTTGATGTACCTGACAAATGCTCTTTACTGTACATCTCCAGGCCTGCTCCATGGAAGATCTCAGGCGTGCGGGGCACTGTAGAGCAGCCTCTCATCCCAGAGAGTCAGAAGTTCAAGCTTGTGCTTGCCTTAAAAAATAAGAAAATACTCTCAAGTGTTTCTTCTTTCTATGAGTTATGCTTCCCCCCCACACATACAGGTAGATAGTGGGGAGTCCTTCCTCTCCTCTCGATTATTTTGAGCCCTGCTCACTGGGACACCTGGGAACTTTCCACACCTTGTCTCCCATGTCACCCAGGTCTGGTCTCAAGCGCAAAGGCTCAGCATTTGACTTTAAGCTTTCAGTATGGTCTTCCGAGGGTTTCCGGTGTGCCCTTGACTCTTACCCGGTTGTTTTGGGCCCCAGAAGGTAGCCGAGTCTCGGGTTGTCTGTCTTTCACAGCTGTTAGTGATGACGATGATCTTAACGCTTTCTGAAAGAGCCTGCACCGATTTGGGTTCTGTGGTAGATGTTGGTGACTACCCATGAGCACGACTTTCCTGGAAACAAGAAATGCCAAAGATTGTAAAAAACAAGAAAGCCAGAAAGAAAAGAACAATAATTCATCTTAGTCACGGCCCACATGATTATTGTCTGAGCGCACAAAGGTTATTTGAGTTAATTTTCCATCACCTAAAATGATTTAATCAACTTATTGCTTACTTTTTAAAGCTTTTATTAGTGTGTATCAATTTACTTAATAATGGGTTTCATTTTGTTATTTTCATACATGTATATAGTGCGTTCAGAACATTTTCACCCTCTTCATCACCCTCTCTCATCCTCTTCCCCGTTACCCTCATAATCCTCTTCATTTTCCTAACTAGTCTCCCTTTTATTTTAATGTCCCCTTCTTTTTATGACCCAGAAAGTTGTTTTTTTTTTTTTTTCAGAAAGTTTTTTTTAAGTGTATGTATGTACACATACATGCAGGTGACCATGGAGACCAGAAGACGACGTCATATCCCCTGGAACTAGAGTTACAGGTGGTTGTGAGCCACCATGTGGGTGCTGGGAACTGAACTCAGGTCCTCTGCAAGAGCAGCAAGTGCTCTTAAGAGGTTAACCACTGAGCCATCTCTCCAGCCCACAATGACTTTAATTATGGTTTCTTACATTGGCACAGGGAGAGGGGGCCATTTCCAGGAGCATGGGTGACTTATCAGTGGCTGCTGGGGAACTTGCTGTTTCTTTAGTCATCATTGTATTTATTTAGTGTGTATGTATGTGAGTAAGGAGGCAGCTTGCAGGAACTGGTTCTCACTGGCCACCATGTGGGTCCCAGAGATCGAACTCAGGTCCTGAGGATTGGCAGCAAGCACCTTTACTCATTGAACCGTCTCACTGGCCCCCTTGATCTTTCGAAAGCTAAGTCAGTTTGTGCGTGTGTTAGGCAGTCTTTGGTGACTAACATGGTTGTAGATACTGGGGTAGGAGCGAGGACATGGGAAGATATGTGTTGGCAATCAGGGCCTTCTGTAAGGTATATGAGAATCCATCACTGATGTTTTCCATCTGTCTGCAAAACGTGATTTCAGGGGCTGGAGAGATGACTCCGTGGGTCAGGCACTTGCTGCTCTTCCAGAGGACCCAGGTTCTATTCTCGGCACCCGTGTTGCAGGGGAGGGTCTGATGCCCTCTTCTGACCTCGGAAGGAACTGCACTCACGTACATAAACCCTCACACAGACACACCCACATCTACAAAATTAATTAACAATTAAATCTTCCTAAGAGTCTGTGCTTTATCGATTGACCTAGCCGAGCAGCCAGCCTGTCTTCTTTTTACAAGGACCTTCAGTTTGTAGACCGTCCGTAGGGGCTTCGTCTGACCTGCGTTCCTGTGGGTCAAGGGCGAATCTGTGACCTCGGCTCAGTTTAAAACCAAGCTGTTTTCCCTATTTCAGCAACAGCGAACAGTCTACAGACTGACACTTGTGAAGTGCTGGAACGTGGATGAACTCCGGGCCTATGCTGAGCTGGTGTCCTTGGGGAACCCCGACTTCATCGAGGTCAAGGTGAGCTCTGCTGGCTGGTGGTGGGCATGCTGCAGCTTAGGGCTGGCTGGCCAAGGGTTGGGGAAAAGCCTGCTTGTTTGGTTCCCAGACTCATCGAGAAGCGTCTCTGTCCTGGGCGTCAGGGACAGCAGCAGTGAAGGACACCGAGCTGTTGGTCCCCAGAAACATCTGCTCTGGGGGCTGGAGACATGGCTCACTGTGTAAGAGCACTTGCTGATTTCCCAAAGGACCCGAGTTTGGTTCTCAGTTATCAGTCAACTCACACCCGGCTGTGACTCCAGCTCAAGGGGATCCAGTGCTCTCTAGACTTCCAAGGGCACCGTACACACACACACACACACACACACACACACACACAGAGAGAGACACACACACACACAGTTTTTTAATCTCTCTTTTTTTTAGAGTGGAAAATAACTATAATTACGGGACTGGCCAGTTTATAAAAATCAACCATTTCACCAATTTATTTTTACAGTACATCACTGCTGCATACAACGTGGTCAGTTTATACTGACAGTTTAGATATTTGGTATTGGGTTTTTAAAAAAAAGTCTTTGAGAGCTTCTCCTGTGGTGAGTTAGACCACACAAGATGAACTGAGGAATAGTGCTGGAGTGAGTAATTAGACTCTTCCTATGAGAAATTTCAAACCTATTTCAGATGTCGGTGGTAGTCTAATGGGCCCCGCCCACCTTCAACAGGAGGCCTGTGTGGGGCTGGTCTGGTTTCAGCTCAACTGCTACCCATATTCCCTGCCCTTCTCCCTGCTTATTTTATTCTAAGCTGTGTAAGTTAAAAGATAAATTCTCCATTTCATTCATTCATTCCCTTATTTTTGGTTTGTTTTTTGAGACAGGGTTTCCTTCTGTAGTCCAGGCTAGCTTGGGATTCCCTGTGTAGCCCAGACTTGTGGGCCAGCTAGCCTGGCCTACAAAGATGCAAACGAGATCCTTTCTCAAGCAAGGTGGAAAGCAAGGACTGACACCCCACCCCACCCCAAACAAAAAGATGGAAGAAAATAGTCCCAGTGGTTGTGCATAGTGGCATAGGTTTGTAATCCCAGCACCCGGGGTCACAAGTTCAAACTCATCCTTGACTATACATGAGTTTTAGGTAAGCCTAGGCTATGTAAGACACTGTCTCAAAAAGAAGTATGTGTGTGTGTACACTGAACTGAAGTCTTTGGTTAACTGTGATGTGGAAAGTGGGAATGTTTTACTGAGATAGAGAAAATTAGGGGGAAATTGGGGGTGAAATTTTCTAAGTTCCCTGTTGTCATATTAAATTTAGGGTATCTTTTAAATATTCAGGTATAAGTTTGAAGAGGTCACAGTTTGGGGTTAAGGCAGGGCTGGAAGTGTCAGTTTGGAACCCTGACTCTGAGGTGGAGCATGGAGAGGCTTTCTGGGGGCCAAAGAGCATCCAGATGACTGAGTGGTAGGAGAAAAATTCCCGTCTCTGAAAGCCAGCTCTCGCCTTCTCAGTGTGCAGTTTGGAAACGGAATATTCCCTGATTCCCAAGAGGGGAAGCTACAGCATTTTGCTGTTCCTTTAGAGCTAGGCACCCTGTAGGAGGGGAGGGGAGGTGGGCATCCAGGGCTCCTGCTCAGCTCTCCGTAGGAGGGGTGGGGAGGTGGACACCCAGGATTTCTACTTTACAAGCCATTATCATTTTATCTCCGTTCAGGCCAGAGACACTCTTTGATTTTGAAATTGCTCTTGAGTTCAAAAGGTTTCTCTTGGCAGGAGTTTTAATGACGCACAAATACAAACTGTCTGAAAATATATGTCCTGGTTCAGAGAAAGCTTGCCAACCGCAGAGATTAGTGGCATTTTAATTTACGGCTTAGCTATTAAAAATGTTGCCACAAATTATATGGTAGTAAAGTTTTTGTTTTTATTGTGCTTGGCCGGATCATGGGCACCTCTTCTCTCCCTCTCTTTCTTTACCCTCTCCCTCTTCCCTTCCCTCCTCTCCCTCTTCCCTTCCCTCCTCTCCCTCTTCCCTTCCCTCCTCTCCCTCTTCCCTATCCTCCTCTCCCTCTTCCCTTCCCTCCTCTCCCTCTTCCCTTCCCTCCTCTCCCTCTTCCCTTCCCTCCTCTCTGTCTTCCCTTTCTTTTGAAGTCATGTTTCCTATAGTGAACATTTTACAATTTGAAAAAAATTGGCAAATATTATTATAATTTTCTTTTAAACAGGATTTTCTATAGATGTTATACTGTGCAGCCAAGGATGACCTTGAACCCCTGATCCTCCTGCCTCCACTCCCCAAGTGCTGGGATTATAGCTGTGTGCCCACATGGTATTGGTGGTAGTTATTTACTGATAGTAGTAATTGCTGGATCTTGAAGAAAGATGGTTGCTTGTTAGACAGTGAATTCCCAGGCTGGGGTTTTTGTGTGTTTGGCGCCTGTTCATATGACTCAGAAATAGAGAAAGCTGTGTTCCAAGCTCATGTTTCTTTCAGGCACCTTCCCGCTTGGTCGTTTTAGCCCTGTACTCAACAGTATTCCCAGTACTACTTTTCCCAGCCCTCACGAAAACACTCATGGAGAAAACTGATAGAGGTGATTGGAGACATGGGCATGGTATTGAAGTCCATAAAAGTAAAATGAGCCGCCTTGAGAGACTGGGTCATGTACAATTCTTAGAGAAATGTATGGTCCAGCAGCAGTGAAATTCCATGTCACTCGGAGGGCAGAGGACAGTTTTCAGGAGTCGGTTTTCTCCTTCCACCATGTGGACTCGAGGATCAAATTCAAGCTGTCGGACTTGGTAGCAATCGCCTTTACCCAGTGAGCCATGCCACCAGCCCCTTAGAGCACACTTTCTTTACCTATTCATCTGGTGACGGACACCTGAGCTGATTCCACATGCTGGCTCTTGTGAATAACGCGGCAGTAGGCATGGACTCGTGGCTGTCTCTGTGGAGACCTGGCATTCTCCCTGGGACTCTGCAAGGAACAGGCTGGCCATGAGCATGCCCTCCCCAAAAGACGAACAAAGATCAGTCAGAGTCCGTACCACTGAACTGTCTCCTCAGCCCTTCTCTCTCTCTCTCTCTTTTTTTTTTGTTTTGGTTTTTCGAGACAGGGTTTCTCTGTGTAGCCTTGGCTGTCCTAGATCTCGCTCTATAGACCAGGCTGGCCTCGAACTCACAGAGATTCGCCTGCCTCTGCCTCCCGAGTGCTGGGATTAAAGGCATGCACCACCACCACTGCCTGCCTCTCTCACTATTTTGAAGCAGGGTTTTGCTGAGTTGCCCAGGCTGGCTTTGGATTCATTGTGTAGCCCAGGCTTACCTCGTCTACTTGTCCTCTGTCTCAGCCTCCCCTGGGCTGGGGTTACAGGTGTGCACTATCACATCCTGAAATGGGATGAGGACATGGCCCGGTGGCAGAGTGCTTGCCTGGGACCTGTGAGGCCCTGGGTTCTGTCCCCAGCACTTCAAGCACACAGACAGCAACCAATTAAACATCAGTCAGTGGGTGAGAAGGTAAACTTTCTTGCTCAGTAGGATTCAAATAGTTAATATCTGAAAAGGCAGTATCTGTGCTGTGGTGGTGACTTCATGCCTGTAATCCCGGTGTTTAGGAGGCCCGGGCAGAGTTTGAGGTCAGCCTGGGCTACAGAGTGATACTCAGTGTATAAAACAAATCCAGTAGAAGAGGCTAGAGAGACGGCTCAGTGGTTACTGAGTGCATACTGCTCTTGCAGAGGACCCGGGTCCAGTTCCCAGCATCCACATCTGGCAGCTCACTTTTATTTCCGGTTCCAGGGGCTCTGACACCCTCTTTTGGCATCTATAGGTGCCACACTCGGGTACACACAGCCACACATTTCCACAACTGAAAATAGAATCTTTGAAAGAAAACCAGTGGAGGCTAAGGACTCATCGAGACAGGGGTGGGGAGAAGGAAGGGTTTCCAGAGCTCCTTTGTTGAGAACCAGTGTGACAGACTAGGATTAACACACACACACACACACACACACACACATACACACACGGGTGGGGAGAAGGAAGGGTGTCCAAAGCTCCTTTGTTGAGAACCAGTGTGACAGGCTAGGGTTAACACACACACACACACACACACACACACACACACACACACACACACACACACACGCCCCTGAAGTGAAGTGTGTTTATCTGTTAGATGAAATGTCTTAGTGGCAGGTCATGAATGGAACCCTCGGTCTGAGGACAAGAGGGTGTGTGCATCATATTCCATTGCTTCAGGAGGGACCCCAGCCTAAAGGACAGAAGACGGAGCCGTTCACTGACAGGCGGTGTGTAGAAGGACTGCTCTCCCATGGACTGAGACTAGCACCGAGAAGCTTTGAGTCATGTCTACCCTTACTCGGCAAAAGGGAAGAGTCTCCCTTTGAGCCTGGGGGAGGTTTGGGTCAAGCCGAACAGTACAGCAGACTTATGCACATGTCCCCACATTGGGCCCAGGCTCTGCCGTGCCCAAGGCCCATGCCCTGCACACCCAGTGCTGTGCCCGCCTATCACCGTGTTTCAGTTAAGCTGCTTGTCTTCTTAACACTCATTTCTAGGATTCTAAGGTAGAAGCAAGCTGGGCGTGATGGTGCACACCGTAATTCCAGCACCTGGGAGATGCAGGCAAGAGGATCAGCAGTTCAGGGTCACCTTCAGCTACCATGATTCCAGACAAGTCTAGACCACATGTCTCAAAAAAGCAAAAACAAAAACAAGGGCCAAGGAGATGGCTCAGCAGGATGCTTGCCACCTGAGCTTAAACCCTTGTGACCTGAGCTTAAACCCTGGGTGGAAGAAGAGAGCCAACTCCGGCAGTTGTCCTCCGACCTCCACCTCTGCATACACAGTGAACAAACAAACCTACAAATACCAAAGAGTAGATGCACGTATGTCTTCAGATGTGTTTCAAACATGGTTCCTATCCAGTTCTTCTTTTTGCATTATGTCTTGTTTTACTGACCAAGCCAGATGAAGAGATTCTGTCTTTTCCTAC